CTACCAGGCCCAGGTGGGTCTCGAACCCGCGGGCTCAGGCAATCCACTCACCTCGGCTTCCCAAAGCACGGGATTACAGGCTGAGCCACCGGGCCCGGTCTGGGATCTTCTTTTAAAGGCAGCAGTTGAAGCATGGCTTCGGTTTATTTTTGTATTTTTAAATTTTAATATGATTTCAAATCTACATAAAAGTTGCAGGAATGGCGTAAGGCCCAGCACGGAGAAGAAAGCTAGCAACTGTTTAATGATGGACTAAGTGATGCCTCTTCATAATGATGATGATGTTGCAGCTATTCATAAAGATAATAGCAAGCCGGGCGTGGTAGCTCGCTCCTGTAATCTCAGCGGGTAGGCTGAGGCGGAGGATTGCTTGAGTCCTGGAATTCGAGACCAGCCTGGCAACATAGTGAGGCCTTGTCTCTACAAAAAAACGCAAATTGGTTGGGCGTGGTGGCGCACACCTATAGTCCCAGCTACGCCGGAGGCTGAGGTGGAAGGATCGCCTGAGTCCAGGAGGCCAAGACTGCAGTGAGGCTGGACATGGTGGCTCAGGCCTATAATCCCAGCACTTTGGGAGGCCGAGGTAAGAGGACTGCCTGAGCCCACAGGTTCGAGACCAGTCTGAGCAACTTGGAGAGACCTCATCTCTACCATAAAAAATAAATTTAAAAAATTGGCTGAAGCCGGGCTCGGTGGCTCAGCCTGTAATCCAGGGCTTTGGGAGGCTGAGGTGAGTGGAATGCCTGAGCCCGCGGGTTCGAGACCCGCCTGGGCAACTTGGTGAGACCTCATCTCCACAATAAATCAAAAAATTAGCCCGGCGTGGTAGCGCATGCCTGTAATTCCGGCTACTCGGAAGGCTGAGGCGGAAGGATCGCCGGAGACCCAGCAGGTCAAGGCTGCAGTGGCCGGGAGAGGCCACTGCACTCCAGTCTGGGCCACAGAGTGATACTCCAACTCAAAAAAAAAAAAACTTAGCTGAGCATGGTGGATGGTGGCCCATGCCTGTAGTTCCAGCTACTAAGAAGGTTGAGGCGGAAGGGTCACCTGAGCCCAGCAGGTTGGGGCTGTGGTGGCCAGGAGCGTGCCACTGCACTCCAGCCTGGGCGACAGAGTGAGAGACTCCAACTCAAAAAAAAAATAAAAAGACTGCAGTGAGCTGTGATTGTGCCATTGCACTCCAGCCTGAATGATAGAGATCCCAACTCAAAAACAAAAGAAAAAAAAGCCAGGCTCGGCGGCTCAGCCTGTAATCCCGCGCCTCTGGGAGGCTGAGGTGAGTGGATTGCCTAAGCCCGCGGGTTCGAGACCCGCCTGGGCAGCAAGACCTCATCTCTACAGTAAATAAAAAAAATCAACCGGGCATGGTAGCGCATGCCTGTAATTCCGGCTACTCGGAAGGCTGAGACGGAAGGATCGCCAGAGCCCAGCAGGTCGGGGCTGCGGTAGCCGGGAGCGGCCACTGCACTCCAGTCTGGGCGACAGTGAGACTCCAATTCCAAAAAAAAAGAAAAGAAAAAAATAATAGCAATCACGGTTTTCACTTGTGTTAATGGATTTTGTCCTCAAAACAACCCCGAGGACTGTTTCATGCCCGTTTTACAGATAAGGAAGCTGAGCCTCCCAGAGAAGTCTCTTGCTCAAGGCAGGGAGTGGGAAGGGCATGGCTGGCACGGAGCAACTCCACGCAGGCTCTGGGCCCCCTCCGTCCAGCACCCACCTTCTGGAAGTCTTTCTTGGAGATGAGACCGCGGGGATCTGTGACGTAGTCCTGGAAGGCCTCGGAGCCCACGATGTCCTTGAGCTTCAGGAACATGTCAAAGAACTTGAGGATCATCTCTACGTTGGACGAGGACTCCACGAGCATGTCCACCATCTGCCGGGCGATCATGCCATTCACCACGTTCCCTGCGGGCAGCCCCAGGTCAGTGCAGCCGGCAGAGCCTCCCTTCTGGCGCCCCACCGGGCCTGCAGGCCTCTCCAGCTCAGGACCTGCCATGCTGGTGGGGGCTTCCCCGACCAGCCCAAGCCTCCCCTCCGAGGGGCACTTTCTGGTCTTTGTCAGCATCCTGTGTGAACCCACGAACGCTGCCTTTGCCCCCCTCCCTGACTAGCTGATCAAGATAATGGTGACCTAGCCGGGCTCGGTGGCTCAGCCTGTAATCCCGCGCCTTGGGAGGCTGAGGTGAGTGGTTTGCCTGAGCCCGCGGGTTCGAGACC